GGCATAGGTGTGGTCTCTCTAGGTAACGCTGGCATTGGTGCTGGCGGCATTGGTGGTATCATTGGTGGCGGAATTGGAATCGGAGGCTCCTCCTCATCACTGCTTTCCTCCATATCTGAATCCTGTTAAAATAAATTCATCATGTTTCAACTTTACACACATAAAATTCTAGTTAAGAACTCTGTATTCCATACTCATTAAACAGCAAAGAAAGTACTTTGATACAAATATCTCCACTAGTGATATCATCCATTATGAAACATATAGGTACTTTAAAGTAGTCATGTGACTTACTCCTTCATCCATGTCCTGAACCTCTGTGTTCTGGTCAGCTGGTTGTATCTTTTCTTTCGGTTTTTCAGCAACTTTGTGTTGCCTCCTTTCTTCTTTTTCCCCATCCTCCTGCTCCTCTTCTTCTTCTTCTTCACTCTCAACATCCATAACAACATCATCCTCTTCATGCAGAGTTTCCTGAAAAGGCATAACATTTATCAACCATCTCAAATAAAAAATATGAAACATCACATTATTACCTTACTCTCATATTACATCTTTAATAATACCATAAAACCTCAAATTGAAGCCCTGGGCTTCTTTTTTTTGTGAACTTTGGATGGGATTCTTTTTGAAGCCACTTTGTAAAATAAAGAGGGGGGCTTTTTTTCAAAAGAAGTTAAGGCCCTAGGCCTACGCTTGAATTGCACTGGGATTGTGGTTACGGTTAACAAAGTGTTACGGTTAGCTGAACGTAAGCTCACACAAATTTTTCACGTGCAAAAACTTCCTATTAACCAGCATTAAATCACCTAAACTATTGTATAAACCAAGCATGTTTTTAATTTATTTTGCTTCTTTGAAATTCATTTACAGTGTATGTACTGTACTAACACTGTAATTATATATTAATACAGGTATGATATAATTTTAAACAGTAATTCTTATAATGATTATTAATAATAGCCTTACCCCAAACTGCTCATATCGTTCTTCAGCAATGACCCTAGCCCCCACTTCTGATGGCTTGACTGGCGGAGGGAAGTGGCCAGGTTCATCAGGCTGGAAATCAACTGTTTCCACCACAACAAAATCATGCCAATCAATCTGTGCATATGCAACTGGAAAGTAAAATGAAGTAAATTTTAAAAAGCTATTCCTTAGATTTTTCACTCCTTAATGCATCCAGAATTTTTCTCCTTAAGCCATGCAAGTAGAATTTACAGGAAAAAATGATTGAGGGCAATGTCTCTAAGTACAGTTAGCGCCTTCTTTCGACAAACAAAAGTTATTACTGACCCATTAGCTTTTGCCAGATAGTTC